AAGTGAACCCGTCAGCTAAACCCTATGTCCTAAACCCTAAACCTCTAGCAGGCAAAGGCCTTGCAGAAGGCAGAGTTCTCCAGGTCCTTCGGAGCGGGGAAAATATGTACCGAGTCGTGGAGGCTTGTGGCAAAGGCATCCATCCACCTGAGCAGGACTTGTGCGGTTTAGGGTTTAGGGTTTAGGGGGTAGGGCTTAGGGTTAAAGGTTGGGGCTTGGGGTCTAGAGATTTTCAAGTTTAGGGATTAGGGTCTTCAGTTTTGGTGCTTGGAACATATTAAATTCCATCATCGTTATAAAATGCTGTACCCAAAAGAAATATCTAATCTTACTCAATTTCATGACACTAGTAACCCCAGACGAACCCTGGGCCCTATTCGCCCCGCACTTTCCGGGTTAGATGTTCGGATTCCGGGCTCCACTTTTCAAGGCGAACCCCTCAACCTTAACCTTAAACCCTAACTACAAGAGAGCTGAAAGATTTTGCCGTCCCCAGTCGCCTTGCTACTGCTATGTTGGGCACGAACTCATACCATATGTGCAACAGTCACAATTTCCCTACACGATTTAGGGTTTAGGGACTAGTTCCTACATAGTTTAATGGACATGGGTTCTACGGGCTATACTAAACTCCAAGAAGGACCCCCATGTCCACCGTTAAGGGTCCCTTAATACGAAGGCGGATATTGACAGTAGATCATATAAGAAAAGCCCACATGGTACCCGGTTTACGCACAGTCAGAGTTCTCACAAGTCTTGTTGCCCTGTGAAGAGTTCGGTTGGGAGATTGCCGCGCAGACTAAATTCTAAACCCTAGACCCTGAATTCTAGACCCTAAACCCTAAACACTGCAGTTCCGGGAGTGCAGGTTTCGGGGGTCAGGGCTTATAGTGTTGAAGCAGTCAATGGGGTGTCCACATCACAGTAACCAATTCTCAGCCCTAAACCCTAAACCTTGAACCCTAAATAATATGTAGCTAGAGTCCAAGGTTCATATAGGAGGCCATTTGGGCCCAAATTATCTACTATTTGGGTAGTTGTCAAAATTATGGTCCATTTTTGGGTACCCTAAATATTAGGTGCCGTATTATAATAGGGATCCAAAAAGGGACATTAATCTTGACATCCACCTATTTGAATACTTGGACCCTTAGGGTAGGCATCAGGGAGTCAGTGTCCAAGGCTGCTACAGTACAGCTTCTGCTCAAGCTGCAAGATGACTGTTTCTTGACAGTGCGGGATCCACACGAGTTTAGGGTTTAGGGTTTGGAGTTTAGGTTTTGCATCACATCGGTGATTTATAAAGACCCAAACAAAGTGACGCACATCGCATGAGTCAAACACAAAGCAAGTCGGGAAAACACCCTTTTCATATCAAAACCAAATGTGGCGTGAGTGGCCCTCAGAATCCTCGAACCCTAGCCCCTACACTAGGACAGGTTTGGGGCAAAAAACTTCTGGCTTACAAGGGGGTAAGGATTGAGGACAAGGAGCACTCTAAACTGTGGCTAGTACGACGTACCCCTGCCCACGCGCGTGTAAAGTTAAACAGACGGCACAACCTAGCTACAGACTCCTGACTTCGCTGTCTCGAAAAAATCGTTCACATCTAGTAGGGTGAGAGAAAACAAAGGCTATCTGCCTAGCCATAGAGACCAAAACACTGTTAATAAAACCCTGCCCAAGGTCCCAACCCATATCCCCAAAGAGTACGTAGAGGTTCAGGGCACTTACAATTACCCAGTTCTACTTGCATCTACAACTCAAGTAGAAGTCCCATGAGTCGCCGAACACAATTGAGATAGTTGGGGTATAATTACCCCTGCCCTACACCCTAAACCCTAAACCCCTAAACCCTAAACCCTAAACCCCAAAACCCAAAACCCTAAACCCTAAACCCTAAACCCCTAAACCCTAAACCCATACAAAGAGCACTGCAATATGGAGTCCGCGGAGCAAGGGCGTCTGCTTCCGGATTTTCCTCTGCGCCGCGTGCTGCTTCAGCATCTCCTGTCAGTCATGGCCGAAACTGTAGTCCCCGTAGACCTATACCTGGGCCCCCCAAAACTATGCAGAATAATGTCCTTTAGGGCTATTTTTAGGGGTTTGGGTTATTTTACTTACTTTTACGGTTTATAGGTAAGAAAGAATGGTATTTGAAATAATTCCTCAGGGCTACATACTATAAAAAAAGTGCGGAAAAAACAACTCCTACGGAGACTACAGAAAACTCGTTAAAGCACCCAAATGAAACACGGCTACACAGGCATCGATGTTTGTTGTGGACCCCCCATGCTGTGCATGTTGAGCCCGGTCTCCCAAAGAATGTTGAAGAGTACCTATGCAGCTTTTGGTTGGGGGTTTAAACCCTAAACTGCCTAAACCCTTAGGGTTTAGGGTAATTACTGAGGAGAGCACTGAAGCCTTGAGTGCGTTCCTCTGGCAACTGGAGCCCGAAGCCCCACACCCTAAAACCATCAAACACCCAGACCCTTAAAATCCCGGGTTTAGGGTTTAGGGCTAAAGTCCGAGCAGCCAAATCATCCTGCACAGCTAACATCCTCAACCCTTCAAACCCTAAAATTCTAGACCATCCACTGCCAAAACCTTTAGGTATCCCCGAAGCCCAATCCCAATGTGGTTGGATTAGGGTTTATAGTTTAAGGATTTGGGGTTTAGGGTTTGCCTTGCCCAATATACATCGTTCCCGGTGAGCTGTCCATCGCTTGGGGGCCCTAATTGGTGTCAGATTTGCTCAATGCATCCGCCTCAACCCTGAATCTAGAGCTTAGGGGTTTAGGGTTTATAGGGCCTTGACCCTGAATCCCTAAACCCTGAATCCCTAAACCCCCAACCCCTCAATTGCCAATCCTGAGTCTGCAACACAGGCGTCCCCCAAAAGTGGGAGATGAACCTGAGCAGGTTTAGGGTTTAGGGTTCTACCCTGTTTAGGGTTTAGGGTTTAGGGTTCTACCCTGTTTTGTTTGAAAGCCTTCCGTAATGATAGATAGCCCTACTGATGATGAACCTCTTATATAGAATGCCTTGTAATTGTACTACATTGCGGGCGCGGGGTAACTAGGGCGTGTTTTTGGGAAACAGGCGGCATGCCGAGACCCATATCATTTTACTGCTTGCCAAATTAAAAAATGTGGTTTCAGGGAAATACAATCTCTTCAGGGGCTGGGAGCCCACCCTAAATTGCATTAAATAAGCCCTAGACCCTAAACCACCGTTTTAGTGGGGAATCAGATGGAACGGCAAAGAAAATGACATGGACCTGTAGTTGTTCAGGGAGTTAAGAGTGCGGTTCAGGGTTCATGGTGGAAGCCTAAATAGCTATCGAGGTCTAGAGTTTGGGGTTCAGGTCTCCATGAGGTCATTGTAAGGTACCCTATCCTTATGGGTTTCCTTCCTACCCCCCTCTATACCACCCACCCCCACCCACCTCTAGGTTCCCCCTTTATTAATCAAAGACTTTAAGTTTGTACCCTTAAATGTTTGTAACCCTAGGTTTTGGGTCCCAAATACCCTTATTAAGGACCACATTCCATGGTTTAGGGACCCAAACCCCAGGGGTACACACCCTAAGGGTACAAAGGAAAACTCGCTGAATTAATCGGCCTCATTATCCCTAAATACTAATTAAGGGGGGAACCTAGGGGTGGGAAGTGTAGACGGGGGTAGTAGGGCAACCCATGATATACCAAAGCTATACACGGGATCTAGGGCCATACTGTCGGGGAGCTTTGGCTTGTACAGTCGGCCCGACCAACTCTTTCTGATAGGACGTTGGGTTTGGTTCCTAGGGTTTAGGGCTTCAACCCTAAACCCTAGACCCCTAAACCCCTACAGTAAACCCTAATTACACCCAACCCTAAACCCAGACTGCGCCCACGCGCCTATAAGGCCTTCTTGCAAGCCATGCTAAAGCATTGGGATGCGCATGGCAGCCGCAAAAACCCTAAACCCTAAACCG